ATAACATATTTTGTAAGGTTTTTAGAATTTTACTCTAAATTTTACAAAATATTTACAATTTTTACAAAATATTTAATATGATATGATACTTGAAGTTTAGATTAAATTTCACGCAAGAAAATTTCACAGTTTCTATTTTTTCGGCGTGGAAGGACTGATTGCAAAGACTCCGATTTAAATGTAATTTAAATTCGAATTAGACAACATTTATCCGAATAAAAGGTTTGCTTTAAAACACTATTATCACATAAATCAGTTTAGTTATTCTTGTTCCGATACTTTTTAAATATTCTTTCTCAATACATTAATATAGTGAAATTGCATTTATTTATTTTTTTCTGAATTCGAATTCTGCATTCAAATAAAATAAGTATAGTCAAGACTCTCAGCAAACATCATTCAAATATTCTGTCTGGCAACTTGAGGTAATCTAGTTTTATAGAGGTTTTTTTTTTTTGGTTTTAAAAGCCATAGAACGTTGGAATAAGTGTCTTTTACCGGTGAAAAGTGTTAAAAGCAATTAGTAAAGAGACAATTAAATGAGTTAGATAGTTTTTGTTTTTCCAATAGAAATTCGATACTTCCCTAACTCAATTATTTATCACTTAAACACCTTAGAGTAAAAAAGTCATGTCCAGTTTTTGAAAGCATGGTTCAGGGTCCGAAGTAGAAAAAAATCTGCAGAAAAGGTTTTAAAGTGTGGCTTCGATTAAGTTTAAAAAAAAGGGCATCTAATAACTCGACAGACCAAGTAGTCAAGGTATGGGTCAATAGCTTTATTTTTTCATTCACGATCGTATATTTATAATTTCATTTCAAAACTGTTAAAATAACTCTTTTTAGATGGACCATAGGGGTGGATTCACACCATCTAGTAAGGGAAAAGGGGGGGGGGGAGGTGATTTTCGTTTTTTTTTGATTTTTCAGTGGATCTAGACCATCTATGAAAGAAAGACTAACGACAGTTTTCAGGTTTAATTATTTGATTAACTATAAAACATTTTTAGTTAATTTTTTTTTAAATAATAGCTTTCACTCCGATTTTTTTTTTGCACCACACAAACTTATTAAAATTTCTTATCACATTCAAACAACCTTCCTAATTTACTTCCTTTTTCAAACAACAAGAACTCTGAATAAAACTCTTTTGAGGAAATTATTTTTTATCTAAAGTCGAACGCAATCTAGTCATACTAAGTTAAGCATTTTTCCCAAAGATTCTACAAATTAAAAAAGATCCTGCCTCCGTTTTTTACGAAACTTCCCTCAACGGAGAGAAGATCAACAGAGACTGGCTAAACTGGAGCGGAGCTGGCGAAGCTTTTGTTTGTTTTCCCTGCTTTATTTTCGCACAAAAGTATAATTGCCTTAACATTCAGTATTTTTTTTATGTGGAATGGCGGAATAAAAGATAACTGGTGAAAACTAGGAAAAAAGATTAAAAGCTACCAGTCTCATGTTCAGTACAGAAATTACAACATTGTCTGAAAATCAGATTTTAAAACCCTAAAAAATCAGACCGAAATTGCTTCAGAACTTGAAAACTCAATAAGAAATGAGGTATCTAAATGGTTTGAAAGTTTACGCTGCATCCTGGAAGTCAACTCCATTTAGGTTCGAGAAATCTAAGTTTTCAAGATATGTTTACAGTTTATGTTTCTAAAATAATTTTGTTGCTTGGAGTATTAATCTAGATGTAATGTCTATTTCAATATTATTCTCATATTTTTGTAGGTTCATCAAACATGCTGGAAGAGTATGATAATGATAATTTTTTAGCCATTTGGGGAAATACAATAAGACATTCTAGTTACATATAGAAGTAGTTTTTTGACATCAAATACAATTAAAAAGGATTTAAGCGCACTATTTGAGCTGGAGAACTCTAAATGAGATCATTATGGGATGTGGAGAAATTATCTTTGCTGCTATTGTTGAAGAGATCCTTACAACCATTTATTTTTTGGTTATTATTGATGGAACTCCGGATGTGTTTTTTACGAAAGAAATCACTTTTGTTCTTCGACTTTTCTGCCTAGGATCTGACAACCAATGACCTTTAGAAAACAGAGTTTTCTAAAGATAGAAAATCTGGAGAAAGTGGACATTGCAAAGCTTATTGTAGGCGTTTTGGATCAAAGCCGAATGTATTTAAAGAACTGTAGAGGCCACGGCTATGATAACGGGGCTAACACGTCCGGTATATGTACCGGCCACCATTATCGAGAAAATTTCTCAAGCTTTGTACATGTCTTGCAGTGCGTATAGTCTCAATCTAGCTGACGTTCATTCTGCAGAATTTTCTACTATAATCAAGAACTATTTTGGAAATATCCAATTGTTGAATAAACTTGAACTTGAATTGATTAAATAACTTGTAATAAAATATGACATATTTTATTTAAGTATAAATTTAGATGTGTAAAAAGTAATTTAGATTCAGAATAATAATGATCGTCAAATATAATTAAACATAACTAAACATTTTCACTGATAGTGTTTAATCTCGAGAATACCGAATCTATGAGAGATAAAGATAAAAAGCGATTGTTTATATTATTGATTTCTGCGTTTTTTTTTTACATTAAGTACTTATACTTAATTTTGATATAATACTTAATGTTGCTATGATAGCAAGAATTTTCAAGTAATAATTTATTGCAATACTTTATATTTTATATAAGAAAAGAATGATTAAATTTTTTAAGAAATTTATGATTTGTCATATTCTTTCAAACAGTCTTACAAAATTATTATTTATTTATTTATTCTAGTTTTTATAGAAAAAATTAGCAACAACGACAAGGGCAAGACTTAAAAAGATGTTAAGTCATATTTTAAAATAAACAACGATGACCCAGTGGGCACAACACGTGTTTAAAACGTCTAAAATACGTATTAAAACGCATTAACACGTATTTTAGACGTTTTACATACGTCTAACTAATCAAACTATTTTAAAATTTGTAAAACAACTAACCCTGGCTGAACTGATTTCTAACTTGGATGCTGAGGACGGTAAATCGTTCAATGGCAATTGTTCTAAACGTCTCAAACAAGATGCGCGCATAGAGGTTATGTAGCTTTTGTCGAAACAATTGAAAGAAATATTAAAGTAATTGCAACTGTTTTAATTACTTGAATTAGAAAATCATTGTTGCGCTAACCAAATTGTTATAAACGTATATAGTTTGGATTGGCTGCTTTAATAAAACAATTAATGTCCCACTTGGGAATATCTATAAATAGCGTGCTTATCAAAGCCTTGCTCTTGGAGTAACCTATCAAACAACAACGGACTCAAGTAACTCTTCTACTACTAACTGTGATCTACGATATCTTATTTGTGTTTATTGCATATTTGTATATACTTATAAATTATAATAAATTAAACTCGTTTTACAATACGACTCTTACGTAAAACAATAATCATCAACTGATTTTATTTAAGGCACTCAAAAGTGAATTCTATCGTTTGAATTAATTTTGTTGACTTCTTTTTGGTTCAAGGCTCTTCTATGTGTTAACGTTGCCTGCCTCATTCTTCAATGGAAGGCATTTCTTTAGAAATCGAGATAAATTTTTTAAAAACTTTTATCGATGACATTGATTAACTACGTTCTTCTTGGCCCCAAATCCTCCAAAAAGCAAAACTGGTTGCATCTGGGTTAACTTCTTTTGGGTTCCGAAATGATTTTGTTAAGAAGAGGAAAATGAAAACACTTCACCGCGAGTCGGTGAACACACTTCCACTAATACGAATCAAAATTTTTGAGGTGAACGTATTTAATGTTGCTCTTGATACACTACTCCAGCAGATAAGAGGCAGAATGAATATAGCTTAAAAGACAACGGACATGTTTTGGTTCATTTGTTCGTCTCCATCTCCTACTAGTGATGAAGAAACACTTAATCAGAAAGAAAAGTGCAAAGCCCTTGCAAATATTTACGTAAATGATGTAATCAAAAAGGAGTTGATTAAAGAAGTCCGCTATCTAGATGTTCTTAAGCTATCAAATTCTTTTGGATAAATAGAATTCTTTTCTTCTATCAGGTTGCTCAACGGAATCTACCAAAAAAGATTTTTAGTCAATATATCTTTCCATTTGCATTTTGCTTATCATATTTAATACAATCTCGGTTTCAGTTGCTGAAGGAGAGCGCTCTTTCAGTAAGCTTACTCCCATCAAATCTAAATTGCAATCAACTATGACTTTTTTTGCTCTAATATATAATTCCATTCATTTTAATTTGTCGTAGTGTTTTTGTTAATGATATATAACCAAGTTCAAATATCGTGAGTTGTTATGTGTAATGATGCCTAATACAAAAAAATTATTGTTTTTATCAAATTATAATATGATAGTAAACATAAACTGATGAAACTTTAAAACTCATGCTTAATTCATTAAACCAAGGAATCCGAAATTTAGGGCACTTGAAGTCACCACAAAGACCCCAGACACCTGCAAATACTAACTCTCAGTAAAATGTGTTGTTGTATGTATTACAGCTATATATCTTATAAAAGTACATATATTATAAGAGTGTTATGCTTTTACTTGAAATTTTAAAATTTTTTCTAATATCTAATAGAAATTTTTTCATGATTTGTTTTTTGTTTTTGTACAATAAACTTGCTTATATTTCAAAAAGAAAATTTATAGGAATATTTGATAGAAAAAAGTTTATATATTTTTTACAAGCCTTTTTCTTTTTTTAACATATAAAAGCATTTTCTTTGCCATTCAAAGAATGCTTTCAAAATTGTAACTTGTAGATAGTGTAACGAGTAAAAAAGTACATAGCGAATAAAAATAAATATTGAGAGATCTTCATTATTACTAAACTAATGTTTATTAGCATGAAATTTCTAAAAATCAAAAAAGTTTTATTAAAGTATGCTATTTTTAACGAACTTAAAAATGTTATAGTTAATGATTTAATTCTTATTTAATTATAATTTTTTTTTACCTCATATTATTTTTAACACCAAAAATCAGTGAAATTTTATTTTTTTGACGTCATCGGAAATATTTTACGGCATAAGAAATACCTAACAAAGTTAAACAAAAATGACTGAGCGTGCACGTTCATACCTTTAAAAAGGTAAAGTTGTTTCAGACAATTTTAAATCGATTTTTAATATTTATTTTTTTAAAGTTTATTTTTTTGTGTTTATGCATTTCTAATTCTATTTATTTTCTTTTATTTATTTAGTTTTTGCTCAATTTAAATAAATATAAATTTCAACAAGAAATGTTTTTTAAATAAATTTAAGATTATCATATTTTTATCCACGCAAAAGTAAAATTACTACGTTTAATATGGTCTAAAAATCACTTTGAATTTATTTATGCTTTTTAAATTAATCTATTGTGATGTCTAGTTTTATAAAGGTACCAACCTGTTTGTTAGTTTTGTTGTTGTCGCTTGGTGTGTTTAAATCATAACTGCGGTTTATATACAAGCACTGTTTATATTTCCTAATTTTTTTGTGCATATTGTTTTTAGTTTTTCAGTGGAGTATTGAGCTAAATTAAATGTTTTTTTATATTCTTTGCTTTATCTAAAAACAGAATTTAAGTATTTATTGTTTCTTATTTGTTTTCTAATTTTTTTTGCATAATTCAGACTCGTTTTTCTTATAAAGATGTTTTTATTAATTAATTACACATTAATCAAAACATAAATAATGGTCAGAGATAAAAATAAACCTATTATATCTCTGAATAAAAAATTTAGGTCAGATATTTCTGATATGAAATTTTATGATTATAAAGTTATAATTATATTAGAAAAAAGTTAAATGATGAATCTTCACTAGTATAAAGTTTGTTAATACCTCAACTTATAGGCTATTTTACAATGTGTTTAACATTATAGACTGAAATCTTTAGTAAAAAAAGTGATTATCATTTTTGTAAAATGATGTTGTAAATAGTTTTTTTTTGCTGAATCATAATGATTTTATTTATAAATTCTCTTTATATTTAATATATAATCAGTAAACTTAAAAGCTGTATGTCCATTTATTTTCAACATTTACAAATAATGAAGAGAGAGGTTAGGAACTCTATCTTTATTTTCAGATAATACAGCTCTATATTCAAATTTTGATGAAAATAAGTCTTTACTCTCTGATTACTTAGAACAAGCAAATGATAATGAGTTTTAAACCTGTTAAAATTTGCTTGTTTTCTGCTGATCATTGTTGTAATAATTTTGATATTTCTTTATAGAAGAATTGTGACATTCTTCTTGAGTTTTTTTCTTACATTTATAATATGGAGCTCTGTTGGAGTCCATATATTTCATACCTAGTAAAATTAGTCAAGGTTGCTTCTCTTTATAGTGCTAGACAATTTTTACTTTTGATTTCATTCCTTTTATTACATTAATAAATCTCTTTTAAAAATCTGTTTTTAGTAAAATCTTCTAATGTTTGGTCTTCTAATAAAACCTTCGTAACAGTCAGAGAAATAAGTATCCGATCAAAACATTCAACTGTGAAAAATAAACTTTGTCAAGTTCTTTGAGAAAAAAGATTTATTTATAATAAAAAAATTTATGATCTTTATGAAAGCAAATTTAATTAAAAATTTAGAATTAGAAATTGCTAAAAATTTAATGATACATTCAAACTATGCAATTTTTTAACATTAAATAAGTATTGAAACAAAATTTTAAAGATTAAACGTCTCTCTTAGTAATTAATTTTTTTTTTACTTTTAATATCTAGTTGGACCTCCCTTAGCATTTATGATTTCTGAAAGTTGATTTTGCATTGGTTCAACTAATTTATGTCGTATATAAATCAATATGTGCCCAAGCTTATTGGAGCATGTTCTTTAGCTCTTTAGACATCATGTCCCACTTTTTTGATTCAGAATATCCCACAGGTGTTCAATTGAATTGAAATCTAACTTTGAGCCAGCCATTCAAGTATCTCAATCTGTTTTTGGATAAAAAAAACTCTTGTTTTCTTTGATATATGCTTAGGGTTGTTGTCTTGTTGGAAGATAAAATTTTTTCTGATTGCAGTTTTTTAGCTGAGGCTAGAAGTAATTTATTGAGAATATTGACATAATCCTCAGTCTGTAATTTCATAAATAAACTTTAGCTATCCTGCTCCTTTCCAAGCTATCGATCCCCAAACCATAATATATATACACCAAATTTTACAACCTTGAATGCAACTGAGTGTGAATGCTTCACCTTTTTTTTCTCCATGCTATTTTAGCTCCATCGGACTTCACAAGTTTAAATTTTGCATGGAACTCTTGTTTTAAATCTTTCAATCGCTTTGGAATAATACATGAACTCTTTTGTATTCCAAATTCTTTTTCAAGAATGCTTGATGTTTTTGGTGCTGATAAAAACTGTTTTTTTTGGTATCATTTTCACAATTTGATGTTAATCAATTCTGGATGGTGTTTTATGCTTAGCTTCGGATCTTGGCCTTTTCTTTCACATATCTAAATATTTTATACTGTTTAATCAGATTGCTGATAGTTCCTAATGGCATTCCAGTTGCTTTATTTATCAACCTAAATGTTTTACCTTGCTTGAACAAGTCGATAACCAAACTATGCTGAGCATACTTGATATCAATGGTAAATCAAATGAGTTTGAAAAATATCAGTCTATTATTAAAAGTTACTTGTTACTAAACAACAATATTTTGAAAACTATTGGTTAAAAAACTTTTTAGTATTCACATACAAAATTTTGTTTACAAAACAATATAATGATCTTTTGTTGAGGTTTTACCACTCCTTAAGGAGTCATTAAATTTAAAAAACCTTAGTTAATTAGCAGTTATTTTTTTTTTGCTATTTAAAATTGTGGTTTAATTTGCTTTCAGAATAATTAAAAAGTTTCTTATCAAAAACTTTATTTTTTCTGAAATATCCAGACAAAGTTTATTATTCACAATAAAATATTTTGTTAAGAAACTTTTTTCTCTGACTTTAGCTACTTTCATCATTTAATTACCCATTAAAAATAAAAGTAAAAAGTAATCATAAATGGATTAAAATTGGTTAAAAAATGTATATACGTAAATTGAATATTAGGGTATATTATATTAAAAATAAAAGGTAAATTTTTAAAATTTAACTTTTGATTCTAATAATATACCCTAATATTTAATAGAAACAATTTTATTAAAAGGATCTTTTTTAATGAAACTGTAATTTAAAAAATCTTTAAAAGTTTTAGACAATCATTGATACCTCATGTAATATAACAAATAAATTCATCATCAACCTCCCCCTTCTCACCCCAGGATTTCTGGGCCAGAAGTGTATCAAAATGGTTAGGGCTTCCCGCCACCACCGCTCTCCCCTTTATTTAATAATTTTGCTATAATTGTAATATCAAGATATAATATGATTACCATTTATATAAACATAAACAAGACTTTTAAAACAGATAATGCACACCAAAGTTTCATAAAGTTTAACATAGATTTTCTTACCCATCTCCTCCTCCAGGAACTAGTTTAACTGTTTTCTAATAACTTTAGGTACATAATAAATATAATGGAAGCTCAAGAGAAGTAACTCTCGATGCATTGAGTTTGAATAAAGTTTGTAATGAAAACTGGTTCAGTAATGCCTTTTTTTTTCTTCCAATTTTTAAGTTCTTTGATGTTGCAAGCATTAAGGTTTATTGTCTGCTAAACTTTAAGAGGTCTCACATCAGTAAATCAACAGCAAATAACCTCTGTTGTGAGCTATCAAAACTGAGAAATACCACAGGTATATTCTCAGGGTAAACCCACCAAGATTTACTTTTTACATAAGGTTTCTAAGCATCTTTAATCCTATTATCTTGCTTCTGCCAAAGAACTGTATTTAATGTCATGATTTACTTTAATCTCAACAAACATTAAAAGATAAAACTGCGTCATCCAAGTTGCAAGCAATTTTAAGATCTCTGCATTCTTAAGTTTAAGATCTTGCTTGCTCATAAAGAGCAGCAAGTACCTCATGCCACAAGTCAATGTACACAAGTAAGCCATTGACTGTTTCACAATACCTCAAGTACCTCAAGCCATTGTGAAACAGTCAATGGCTTACTTGTGATCTAGCACAATTAAGAGCTACTACTTCAGGATCAAGGTTTTCTTTCAATATTTCCTTCAAAAACTTCCATAAAACAAAAAAAGCCATTGTCATCACCAATTTCTCTAAATCTATCATTCACTAATATTTGTGGTCTCCGAAGTAACTTTCTTTTGTTGAGTCTTATCTTTTGCAAAGTTTACCAGACCTAATTGCTCTCATTGAGACTTATTTGAGTTCAGTTGTTTCATCTTGTGATCTCAGTGTTTATGGTTATTTTTCTTTAATTTGTAAAGACTCCAATAGTCACATGCTTGGTCTATGCATTTGCATTTGTGAGAAATCACCCATTTGTCAGGAAACTAAGTTTGAATCCTCAAATTATTCTTTTATGTGCTTTCATTTAGCACCTTTTCATTCTATCACCTTTCTATTTGTTCTATATGAGTTCAAGACTGCAGTCTTTTTGATGTTATTTCTGATCTAATTTACCAAGCCGGTTGACAGGTTGATTTATTGCTTGACATTTGTATCACTACACCCTCTGTATCTAAAGTGATTCCCTACTTAATCCTTTCTACAGTCTGTGGTCTTGACAACATACATTTAATAGTCTTGCAGAAGTGTTTTCCAGAGCTGTTACATATACTTTTATAATTATTTAACAAGTGCTCATAAGCGTCTTGTTTTCCAGCCTGCAAGAAAGCAGGATCTGTTATTCCTAATTTCAAAAATTCTGGAGAGCAATCTGATTAACTACCGTCCTATTAGTTTTCTTACTATCATAAGCAAGGTTTTTGAGTATGTAATTAACAAACACTTTATACCTCATCTTGAATCTAATAACTTACTTTTTAATTATCAATATGGATTTCAATCTTCTCATTCTACTGCTGATTTGTTAATAGTAATAACTGATAGGTTTTATCATGCATTAGATAGATGTGGAGATGTTAAGGCTATTGCTCTTGACAGCATGCTAAACTGTCAACATCTTGACAGTTTAGCATGCTGGTGTGTCAGGTAACATCTTTCAGA